AGGAGGTCGGGATACTGTAACAGCATACATGTATGCGTCAGAAGAAAACCTGAAGGAATCAGTTTTCTCTTTCCCAGAGTCCCAGGGATGGAACCAAAGTCATGAGGCTCGGTGGCAACTGCCTTTACTGGCTGAGTCACTGATGAATGTGTTTTTTGTTTGTTTGTTTTCTGTGTTTTGTTTTTTTTTTTCTTCAAGACAGGGTTTTTCTTTGTAGCCCTGGCTGTCTAAGAACTCACTCCTGTAGACCAGACTGCCCTCAAACTTGGGAGATCCATCTGCCTCTGCCTGCTGAGAGCTGGGATTACAGGCGTGTGGCACCACCACCTGGCACCTTGATGAGTTCTTAACATATGCTTCAGCTTTTCACCTTACAAAGTTTTTGGTGGCAACAGATGAACTAAAACATGAAACAACATTGGAGAATTTATTCATTGCTGAATAAGCATCACCCACTATTAACATTCCTCCCATAGTTCCACAGCACTCATTAGTTCACAATAGGTTTTCAGATTAGTTACTATGATTATTTTTTTACCTTTTTTTTTTCAGACAGGATCTTTCCCCCTTTTAGATTTATTTTTTTATGTGTTATGTGTTTTGCCTGATTGTATATATGTGCACCACATCCATGCTTGGTACCTGTGGAGGTTTGCAGAAGGGTCAGATCACCCTGGAACTGGAGAAACTGGGATGCTGGGTACCAAATCCAGGTCCTCTGTAAGAACAATGGTTCTTACCTGCTGAGCCATTTCTCTAGCTCCTTAGCCTGGTCCCAAACTTAAGTAGCTGAGAATGACCTTGATCTTCCTGCCTCTACTTCAAAAGTGCTAAGATTGCATGTGGACTCCACCAAACTGTGCAATATTACTATTCTGATGGCTTATCATGGCATCAGAGGCCTACAGCAAACAGTGCTGTGCAGCTTTTGTTGATGAAGTCAAGAAGGTTCAGGGTGACATGCTCCAGGGAGTCAACTAAGAAGAGCTAACTTGGAGACCCAACTAGATCTCGCTGTGTCCTCAACTAGGTTCTAAGTGCCTGAATGGTAAAGATGTTAAAGAAACAAACAACAAAAACCCAAAACTATAACAACAGAAAACCCCACTGGACTAAGCAAGCATTATGGCACACACCCGTGATTCCCAGCATTTGAAAGAGGGAAGCAGGAGGACCTCTCAAGTTCCAGGCCAGCCTTGGCCACAGAAGGAAAACCATAAAAAGAAGAAGAGGAAGAGGAAGAGGAAGAAGAAGAAGAAGAAGAAGAAGAAGAAGAAGAAGAAGAAGAAGA